TCTCAAGCTGGTCCTATGGCATTAAAAGAAGGGAAGTACCCCCGGAAAAAGGACTTGACAACTCAACCTAATGGAAGGGGAATTCCCATCTAATCACTAACACCATCCACAATTCTCCCCTCCTCCCACTCCCCATCAATCATCACTCACAGACTTCCATAAAGGTAAGTGTCATGAATTTTGTACATGTCTTCTTCAGTTTGTGTGTATTAAAATTAAATATTCATGAGGTAAATATTTTTTTTTCAATACTTTTGGGTGTCTTGCCGATTAATTATGATTCCTTATTCCATTATGGGACATTAACTCAACTAACGATAATTCGTTTAACATGAGCACTCAGGAACTGATAATATCGTTGTGTCTAGTGTCCACAGTATGTCTAAAAAAAATTTGGGTACTCCTAGTTCACGAGAAATTATGGAAAACATTACTTAAAAAAAAAAAAAAAAAGCTGTTTTAATGGACATAATTTTCCTCTTGTTATATCAAAAATAAGTGTGGGAGCTACATGGAAAGCAGTTCATAGGCCTTAAATTAAGTAAATTGAAAAAATATTTACAGGGAGGACACTATCCAGATTTCACACACAATTTCTTCTTTTTTTTTTGATTTAATGATCCCTTTTCCTATTAAGTATTATAGAAAACTACAGATTTTGATAGGTGTTTTATAAGGGGGGTTTACTCTACAAGAAATTGGTTTTCACTAGGCAAACTATAAGGCAAAACTGAGTAATTAAAAACTAAAATTCAATGCAAAAGCAACATAAACACAATAACCAACATAACAACAAATTTTACAGGAGAATGTGAAGAGGCGATAAAAAAAAAAATATCGTTAGAGAGATAATTCCATTACAAATTTGTAGATAAATGATTTAGAGTAACTGACAAGTTGATAAGTACGAAAAGTGCAACACTTTGATATCTTTATTGAGAAATGATTTCACAACACAGTGCCTCATAGTTTCTATACAAAGAAGGGTGATGATCAGAAGGTGGAGTTGGAGTGCAATCAGTCCTCAGCCTGGAGATGAAATGTAATCATCCAGCAATCTTGAAAAGACTGATGGACTAAATACACTGACTTCAGCTGAGGGAGTGATTACCTGCAACTCCTGATCTTCACCCTTCTTTGTATAGGACTCATGAAGCCACTATTTGGCAAAATGTTTCCTCAATAAAGATACCCAAGTGTTGCACGTGTCTATTTTTTTTTTAACACGTCGGCCGTTTCCCACCGAGGCAGGGTGACCCAAAAAAAACAGAAAAGCCCAGAAAGAAAAAACTTTCATCATCATTCAACACTTTCACCATCACTCATACATAATCACTGTCTTTGCAGAGGTGCTCAGATATGACAGTTTAAACATCCCTCCAAACTGCAAATATCCTAAACCCCTCCTTTAAAGTGGAGGCATTGTACTTCCCATTTCCAGGACTCAAGGCAGGTTAATTCCCTGAATCGCCTTCTTTCCCCAACAGATTTATACGCTCTACAAGTCATTCTATTTTGTTCCATTCTCTCTAAATGACTAAACCGCTTCAACAGCCCTCTGATTGATACTTTTAGTAATTCCACACATCCTAATTTCCACACTGAATTCTCTGCAAAATATTTACACCACACATTATCCTTAGACACAACATCTCCACTGCCTCCAGCCGCTTCCTTGCTGAAGCATTTACAATCCATGCTTCACACCCATATAAGAGTGTTGGTACCAATATACTCTCATGCATTCCCTTCTTTGCCTCCAAGGATAATGTTCTTTGTCTCCACTGATAACTCAACGCACCACTCACCTTTTAGCCTTCATCAATTCTATGGTTTACCTCATCCTACATAAACCCATCCACTGACAAGTAAACTCCCAAATATCTGAAAACATTCACTCCTTCCATACTCCCTTCCTCCAATGTGATATCCAATTTTTCTTTATCTGAACTGTTTGACACCCTCATTACCTTACTCTTATCTATATTTACTTTCAACTTTCTACCTTTACACACCCTCCCAAACTTGTCCACTAACCTTTGCAACTTTTCTTTGGAATCCCCCAAAAGCACAGTATCATCAGCAAAACCTAACTGTGTCAATTCCTATTTTGTATTTGATTTCCCATAATTTAATCCCACCCCTCCCCAACACCCTAGCATTTACTTCTTTTAGAACCCCATCGATAAATATGTTAAACAACCATGGTGACATTACACATCACTGTCTAAGACTTACTTTTACTGGGAAGTAATCTCCCTCTCTCCTACACACTTTAACCTGATCCTCACTTTTTTTTTTTTCAACAAGTCGGCCTTCTCCCACAAGGCAAGGTGACCCAAAAAGAAAGAAAATCCCCAAAAAGAAATACTTTCATTATCATTCAACACTTTCACCTCACTCATACATAATCACTGTCTTTGCAGAGGCACCAAGATACAACAGTTTAGAAGCATATATAAAGATATATAACATATCCCTCTAAACTGCCAATATCCCAAACCATTCCTGTAAAGTGCAGGCATTGTACTTCCCATTTCCAGTACTCAATTCCAGCTACATAAAAATAACCAGTTTCCCTGAATCCCTTCACAAAATATTACCCTGCTCACACTCCAACAGCTTGTCAGGTCCCCAAAACCATTCATCTCCATTCACTCCTATCTGATACGCTCACACAAGCTTGCTGGAAGTCCAAGCCCCTCGCCCACAAAACCTCCTATACCCCCTCCCTCCAACCTTTTCAGGGATGACCCCTACCCCGCCTTTCCCCCAACAGATTTATATGCTCTCCGAGTCATTCTACTTTGATCCATTCTCTCTAAATGACCAAACCACCTCAACAACCCCTCTTCAGCCCTCTGACTAATACAGTGGACCCCCGCATACCGCATGCATCGCATACCGTACAATCCGCATACCGCTCGCTTTTTTTGCAAAAATTTTGCCTCGCATACCGCCCAAAAACCCGCTCACCGCCCTTCATCCGAGACGCGTCCAATGTGCGGCCTGAGCCACGCTCACATGTTCCGCCGGTGGCACTGTTTACCAGCCAGCCTCCGCGGTAACATCCAAGCATACAATCGGAACATTTCATATTATTACAGTGTTTTTGGTGATTTTTTCTGGAAAATAAGTGACCATGGGCCCCAAGAAAGCTTCTAGTGCCAACCGTACAGCAATAAGGGTGAGAATTACTATAGAGATGAAGAAAAAGATCATTGATAAGTATGAAAGTGGAGTGCGTGTCTCCGAGCTGGCCAGGTTGTATAATAAACCCCAATCAACCATCGCTACTATTGGTGGTACAGCTGCTGCTGCACTGTCAGCTGCTGCTGCTGTTGTACCACCGTCAGCTGCTGCTGCTGCTGTAGCATCGTCTGCTGCTGCTGTAGCATCGTCTGCTGCTGCTGTAGCATCGTCTGCTGCTGCTGTAGCATCGTCTGCTGCTGCTGTAGCATCGTCTGCTGCTGCTGTAGCATCGTCTGCTGCTGCTGTAGCATCGTCTGATGCTGCTGTAGCATCGTCTGTTGCTGCTGTACCACCGTCAGCTGCTGCTGCTGCTGTAGCACCGTTGTTGGTGTGGCTTATTGAGAATACCAAGAAACAATTAACCCCAGAGGATTTGCCACCCAGGATAACCCAAAAAAGTCAGTGTCATCGAAGACTGTCTAACTTATTTCCATTGGGGTCCTTAATCTTGTCTCCCAGGATGCAACCCACACCAGTCGACTAACACCCAGGTGAACAGGGAAAAATGCCTGGAACTAGTGCTCATATTGGTGAATTTAAAGCCAGCAAAGGTTGGTTTGAGAGATTTAAGAATCGTAGTGGCATACACAGTGTGATAAGGCCTGTTCTGGAAGAAAATGCCAAACAGGACCTACAGTACTCAGGAGGAAAAGGCACTCCCAGGACACAGTGTCTCATCAGTCATTGCTGCATCTTCAATAAAGGTAAGTGTCATTTAGTCTTCATTTAGTAGAGTAGTACATGCACAATACATATTGTGCATGTACTACTCTACTATTGTGCATGTATCCTTCTCTTTGTGTGTAGGAAAATGTATATTTCATGTGGTAAAATTTTTTTTTTCATACTTTTGGGTGTCTTGCACGGATTAATTTGATTTCCATTATTTCTTATGAGGAAAATTCATTCGCATACCGAACATTTCGCATAACAACCAGCCCTCTTGCACGGATTAAGGTCGCTATGCGGGGGTCCACTGTACTTTTATTAACTCCACACCTTCTCCTAATTTCCACACTGCAAATTCTCTGCATAGTATTTACACCACATACTGCCCTTAGACAGGATATCTCCACTGCCTCCAACCACCTCCTCGCATTTACAACCCAAGCTTCACACCCATATAAGTGTGTTGGTACCACTACACTTTCATACATTCCCTTCTTTGCCCCCATAGATAACGTTTTTTGTCTCCACAGATACCTCACCCTGCCACTCACCTTTTTTCCTTCATTAGTTCTATGGTTTACCTCATCCTTTATAAACCCATCAGCTGACAAGCCAACTCCCAAATACCTGAAAACATCCACTTCTTCCATACTCACTCCCTTCATTGTAATATTCAATTTTTCTTATCTAAATCATTTGATACCCTCATCATCTTACTCTTATCTATATTCACTTGCAACTTTCTACCTTTACACACCCTCCCAAACTCATCCACTAACCTTTGCAAATTTTCTTTAGAATCTCCTATAAGCACAGTATCATCAGCAAAAAGTAACTGTGTCAACTCCCATTTTGTATTTGATTCCCCATAATTTAATCCCACCCCTCTCTCCAACACCCGAGGAAGACACTTCTCACTATCCTCATAAAAACTGTTTAAAGCATTTAGTAACTTACTACCTATTCCATACACTTGAAACATCTTCCACACTGCTCCCCTATCCACTCTACCATATGCCTTTTCTAAATCTAAATTACAAAATTACACATAAAAAGTCAACCAAAGAGAATTGCCTTACCTTGTGCTTATTTCCTGTGGAATGCTCACTGAAGATGGGTGCATTAGCAAATCTTCTATAGCCTATGTGGAATATGAGGCGTTCCTTGGATTTAATTGGCCGCAAGTGTCCCAAAGAATGAGACTTTATGACAACGTTAATCACAGACATTTTCTGTTCATGAATAAGGAGCCCAAACACTGCAAGTGGGGAGTGACTTGAAACATGGTTGTCATAGAGATGACGAGGCACGTCAGCAATATGTACTACCACATACCAGCCAGGCTGGAAACACAAACAAACATTAATTCCTAGCCTGTACATAACATGTTTTGCTTTATAATAATATTTAATACAAATTAACCACTCACAAGATTAAACAAATTACTAATTAACAACTCCTAAATTGGCTCTCTAATATTAAACAGTTGAAACACAGCTACAAGATTCACGAAAGTATGGAATATCATTTATATGTAGCATCTCACATTTTTATATTTAATAATGGATGTAATTACTGCCAAATGGTATGGAAGTAAATAAAAGCAAGCTGCAGACAACTGTATTACTTCTTTAGTAGAATAAAATTCAAAATTAGATTAACTTAGATTAAGCTTGTAAAACAGAGTGAATACTAGTGTTGTGGAGAAGCATAATTAGTGAAAGGTTATCCCTAAGTCCAGGTTTTGTTGTGAAGCAAAATAACTACCATGAAGCAGTTCTAATCTGGCTTTCCATACACTTGCTTTTTTCCTTTGAGAATTTTCTCTAATGATCAGCATTTTCAATCAGTTCTAAAACATTACAGTAAGTCATAGAGTTATTAGAACACAACACTGATTTTTTTTTTTTCAATGACCCAGCCATATCCCACCAAGGCAAGGTGGTCCAAAAGAAAAAAATAAAGTTTCTCCTTTTAAATTTAGTAATATATACAGGAGTGAATGGAGACGAATGGTACTTGGGACCTGACGATCTGTTGGAGTGTGAGCAGGGTAATATTTAGTGAAGGGATTCAGGGAAACCGGTTATTTTCATATAGTCGGACTTGAGTCCTGGAAATGGGAAGTACAATGCCTACACTTTAAAGGAGGGGTCTGGGATATTGGTAGTTTGGAGGGATGTGTTGTGTATCTTTATATGTATATGCTTCTAAACTGTTGTATTCTGAGCACCTCTGCAAAAACAGTGATAATGTGTGAGTGTGGTGAAAGTGTTGAATAATGAAAGTATTTTCCTTTTGGGGATTTTCTTTCTTATTTGGGTCACCCTGCCTCGGTGGGAGACGGCCGACTTGTTGAAAAAAAAAAAAAAATACAGAAGGGGTTACTAGCCCCTTACTCCCCGCATTTTAGTCACTTCTTATGACACATATGGCTTACAGAGGAAGAATTCTGTTCCACTTCTCCATTAACCCTTAAACGGTCCAAACGTATATATATGTTCTCTCACATAGCACCCCAAACGTATATATACATAGGTTTAAAAATGTAGTGTTAGAGTGTTCAGCAGAAGTTTGTGGTTACAGGAAAGTGGGTGCAGGAGGGAAGAGGAGCGATTGGTGGAATGATGATGTAAAGAGAGTAGTAAGGGAGAAAAAGTTAGCATATGAGAAGTTTTTACAAAGTAGAAGTGATGCAAGGAGGGAAGAGTATATGGAGAAAAAGAGAGAAGTTAAGAGAGTGGTGAAGCAATGTAAAAAGAGAGCAAATGAGAGAGTGGGTGAGATGTTATCAACAAATTTTGTTGAAAATAAGAAAAAGTTTTGGAGTGAGATTAACAAGTTAAGAAAGCCTAGAGAACAAATGGATTTGTCAGTTAAAAATAGGAGAGGAGAGTTATTAAATGGAGAGTTAGAGGTAGTGGGAAGATGGAAGGAATATTTTGAGGAATTGTTAAATGTTGATGAAGATAGGGAAGCTGTGATTTCGTGTATAGGGCAAGGAGGAATAACATCTTGTAGGAGTGAGGAAGAGCCAGTTGTGAGTGTGGGGGAAGTTCGTGAGGCAGTAGGTAAAATGAAAGGGGGTAAGGCAGCCGGGATTGATGGGATAAAGATAGAAATGTTTAAAAGCAGGTGGGGATATAGTTTTGGAGTGGTCGGTGCAATTATTTAATAAATGTATGGAAGAGGGTAAGGTACCTAGGGATTGGCAGAGAGCATGCATAGTTCCTTTGTATAAAGGCAAAGGGGATAAAAGAGAGTGCAAAAATTATAGGGGGATAAGTCTGTTGAGTGTACCTGGTAAAAATGTATGGTAGAGTTATAATTGAAAGAATTAAGAGTAAGACGGAGAATAGGATAGCAGATGAACAAGGAGGCTTTAGGAAAGGTAGGGGGTGTGTGGACCAGGTGTTTACAGTGAAACATATAAGTGAACAGTATTTAGATAAGGCTAAAGAGGTCTTTGTGGGATTTATGGATTTGGAAAAGGCGTATGACAGGGTGGATAGGGGGGCAATGTGGCAGATGTTGCAAGTGTATGGTGTAGGAGGTAGGTTACTGAAAGCAGTGAAGAGTTTTTACGAGGATAGTGAGGCTCAAGTTAGAGTATGTAGGAAAGAGGGAAATTTTTTCCCAGTAAAAGTAGGCCTTAGACAAGGATGTGTGATGTCACCGTGTTGTTTAATATATTTATAGATGGGGTTGTAAGAGAAGTAAATGCGAGGTCTTGGCAAGAGGCGTGGAGTTAAAAGATAAAGAATCACACACAAAGTGGGAGTTGTCACAGCTGCTCTTTGCTGATGACACTGTGCTCTTGGGAGATTCTGAAGAGAAGTTGCAGAGATTGGTGGATGAATTTGGTAGGGTGTGTAAAAGAAGAAAATTAAAGGTGAATACAGGAAAGAGTAAGGTTATGAGGATAACAAAAAAGATTAGGTGATGAAAGATTGAATATCAGATTGGAGGGAGAGAGTATGGAGGAGGTGAACGTATTCAGATATTTGGGAGTGGACGTGTCAGCGGATGGGTCTATGAAAGATGAGGTGAATCATAGAATTGATGAGGGAAAAAGAGTGAGTGGTGCACTTAGGAGTCTGTGGAGACAAAGAACTTTGTCCTTGGAGGCAAAGAGGGGAATGTATGAGAGTATAGTTTTACCAACGCTCTTATATGGGTGTGAAGCGTGGGTGATGAATGTTGCAGCGAGGAGAAGGCTGGAGGCAGTGGAGATGTCATGTCTGAGGGCAATGTGTGGTGTGAATATAATGCAGAGAATTCGTATTTGGAAGTTAGGAGGAGGTGCGGGATTACCAAACTGTTGTCCAGAGGGCTGAGGAAGGGTTGTTGAGGTGGTTCGGACATGTAGAGAGAATGGAGCGAAACAGAATGACTTCAAGAGTGTATCAGTCTGTAGTGGAAGGAAGGCGGGGTAGGGGTCGGCCTAGGAAGGGTTGGAGGGAGGGGGTAAAGGAGGTTTTGTGTGCGAGGGGCTTGGACTTCCAGCAGGCATGCGTGAGCGTGTTTGATAGGAGTGAATGGAGACAAATGGTTTTTAATACTTGACGTGCTGTTGGAGTGTGAGCAAAGTAACATTTATGAAGGGATTCAGGGAAACCGGCAGGCCGGACTTGAGTCCTGGAGATGGGAAGTACAGTGCCTGCACTCTGAAGGAGGGGTGTTAATGTTGCAGTTTAAAAACTGTAGTGTAAAGCACCCTTCTGGCAAGACAGTGATGGAGTGAATGATGGTGAAAGTTTTTCTTTTTCGGGCCACCCTGCCTTGGTGGGAATCGGCCGGTGTGATAATAAAAAAAAAATAAATAATTTGTCATTTATTCAACATTGGCATGAAAGGCCTGAATCGCCTAGACATGAGAGAATGGGTGTGCACACTCACTGTGTGCCATATGAAAAAAAGTGGGGATGCCTGGGTACCACATGCTCTTTTTTCCTATAAAAAAATTATTGTTTTTTTTGTTTCTCAAAATATTCGGAGGAGTGCTGCGCAAGTGAACGTATATATACGTTTGGACCGTTTAAGGGTTAAGATAAGAGGTAATAAACAATAACAAGAACTAGTAAGAAAAATAGAAGAAAACCCAGAGGGGTGTGTATATATGTTTGTATGTGCACGTGTAGTGTGACCTAATGTAAGTAGAAGTAGCAAGACATACTTGAAACCTTGCATGTTTATGAGACAGACAGAAGACACTAGCAATCCTACCATCATGTAAAACAATTACAGGTTTCCATTTTACACACACTTGGCAGGATGGTAGTACCTTTCTGGGTGGTTGCTGTCTACCAACCTACTACCTAGGACAACATTAAATATCAACAAATATTTGTATCTTACTAGGGCACCCTGCTTCTCTTCATTCATTACTCTCTTTTTAGTATGCCGGAAATTCTCGAACTGGAATATTCTTGAGTAATCAACTGGGAGATTTTCATTTGGGTCCCAAGGAGAAGTACGAAAACTCTGTAATCCACGGAATTTTTGAAAACGTATACTGGCTGGCATATCCATAGGAGTGTCTACCTCGTCAGGAAACATTGCATCTTCTCGAGCATCTGAAACACATTGACTTACAGAGTAAAAAATTTTTGGTGATTATAAATTTATCTGTATATTTTCTTGACATCTTGTTTCCCTTCCCTTTTTTTTAAAAAAGTGAATCCCAAATTTCTTTTGAAAAATTCAAAGGTTTTAATTTCAAAAAAATCGTGGTGAGCGGGAAATAGACAGTATATATCTAGTGTTGAATGGGTCACAAAATCACCAACCACTGCAAAAAAAAAACCTGCAATTTAATTAGCATTCAAGAAAATTTTTAAAATATATTAATTTTTTATTCTCTCCTAAAATAAATACAGTGGACCCCGCATAACGATGGCATCGCATAGCGTTTTTTCCCGCATAAACGATTACTTTTATCGCAAAATTTTTTGCCCCGCTTACCGTTTAAAAAACCCCCGCATACAGATTTTCGTCCGAGACGCGTCCAATGTGCCCTCAGCCAGCCTCACATGTGCCGCCCCGTCCCATTGTTTACCAGCCACCCTCCGCGGTAACATCCAAGCATCACTCGGGAATATTTCGTATTTATTACAGTATTTTCGGTGCTGTTTCTGGAAAATAAGTGACCATGGGCCCCAGAAAGCTTCTAGTCCCAAACCCCTACACCTCAAAGGGTAAGAATTACTATAGAGTTGAAGAAAGAGATAATTGATAAGTATGAAAGTGGAGTGCGTATAGCCGACCTAGTCAGCGGGTACAAGAAAACCCCAATCAAACCATCGCTACTATTGTGGGCACCAAGAAAGACAATTCAAGGAAGCTGTTCTTGCCAAAGGTTCAACTGTGTTTTCGAAACAAGATCGCAATTGATGGAAGATGTTGAGAGACTCTTATTGGTTGGATAAATGAAAACAGATAGCAGGAGATAGCGTCTCTCAAGCGTCATATGTGAAAAAGGCTAGGAGTTGCATGACGATTTAATTAAAAAATGCCTGCAACTAGTGATGATGTGAGTAAATTTTAAAGGGCCCCAGAAAAGGGTTTGGGTTTTGAGAGATTTTAAGAGCGTAGTGGCATCCATAGTGTGATTAAGGCATGGTGAGGCGGCCCAGTTCGGCCCAAACAAAGGGGCTGAAAAATATGTGCAGGAATTCAAGGAGTTACATAGAAATGAAGGCCCTGAAACCTGAACAAGTGTTTAATTGTGATGAAACGGGCCCTGTTCTGGAAGAAATGCCAAGCAGGACCTACATTACTCAGGAGGAAAAGGCACTCCAGGACATAAGCCTAAAGAAAGACAGGCTTACTTTGTTGATGTGTGCCAATGTACTGGTGTTTGCAAAGTGAAGCCTTTATTAGTGTATCATCTAAATCCAGACGTTAGGCAAAAAAATGTCCTAAAGGATAATTTGTGTGTGCTGTGGAGGGCAAACGAAAGGCATGGGTCCTGGGAATTTTTCTAAAACTGGTTACCCATGCATTTTGCCCCAATGTAAAAAAATTACCTAACTAAAGAAATTTAGAATTTAAGGCCCCTGGTGTTAGACAATGCCCTGGTCACCCTACAGACGTGTCAGAGCGACTTTAGGGGGGAATGAGCTTCATTAAGGTAAAGGGTTTTTGTCCTAATCCCACCCTCCCCTGAACCCCATGGACCAGCGGTTTTTTCCCAAAACTTAAAAGAAATGTACACAAAAGCTTGTTTGAAAGGTGTTTGTAATGACCTCAAAAAATCAATGATCTAAGGAGTTTTGGGGAATCACTTTAATATCCTCAATTGGGGTTAAACCTTAAAGGTAGGTTTTGGGGGGAAAGTGACAAAGAGGCCCGAATTTGCTTGGAAGAAATTTGGGGCCAAATGTGCAGAAAAGGGTTTTGAAGGGTTTGAGGCAACCTGAGAATCCGTGCCAGTTGGGAATCCATTGTGGCTTTGGGGAAAAAGCCCTTGGGGGTTTTGGAGGTTAGTGGGGAGGTGTGGAAGAGTTGGTGGAGGAGGACAATGAAGAACTAACCACTGTGAGCTGTGATAAAACTTAAACAGCAAGAGGCCCCACCTGAGGAAATTGCTTCGGGGGGGAGGGGGGAGAGAAATTGAAGAAGTTGCCTACTTCAAAGTTTAAAGGAAATCTGTGCAAAGTGGCTTGATTTGCAAACCTTCAGGATGAAAACCCCTCACCAGCTATTGCAACCCCGGTGTGATTATTCATAAAAATTTTGTGAAAACATTGGGAAGTCATAAAGGAAACGGAGGTACGGGCCCACTATGGACAGATTTTTTGTGCAAAAGAAGTCCAGTGCTTGAAGCTGGCCTAGTGGATTAAAAAAAAAAAAAGAAGAACCCCAGAAAAGGATTACTACCTCAAGTCCTAAGGGAAGGGGTTTCCCCCTTTTAAAAACACTAACACACTCTCTCCCCTCCCCCATCCATCAAAATCACCGACTTCAATAAAAGTAAGTGTCATTTAATTGTGCAGCCTTTTTTCATTTGGTTATTAAAAATTAAAAATTTCATGTGGTAAAAAAAATTTTTTTCATATTTTGGGCGTTTGCACGGATTAATTTTATTTCCATTATTTCTTTGGGGAAAATTAATTGCATAAAGATTTTTTTGCAAACGATGACCCCCTTTTGCAGGGTTTTTTAAAACTTTTTAACCCGGGGGTTCCCTGTAGCACTCAGGCAGGAACCCCGGAAAATATCCCTGAAAAAAACTGCGAAATTTTGAGAATAAAGAAAAAAAACCCAAAAAAAACTAGGAAGCCTCTTTATTTTTTTTTTTTTTTTTTAAACAAGTCGGCCGTCTCCACGGGGCAGGGTGACCCAAAAAAAAAAGAAAATCCCAATAAAAAAAATATTTCATCTCATTAACACTTTCCCACATCACACATTATACTGTTTTTGAGAGGGTCGGAATACAACAGTTTAAAAGCATATGTATAAAGATCCCAAATTACCCCTCCAAACTGCCAATTATTATTATTAAATCAAAAAGAAGCGCTAACCCAAAGGGGGCATACAGCCTCAAAAAATCTTCCCTTTTTAATTTTAAAAAATAAAAAATTTTGAAAGCAGTACCAAGTTGATGAAAAAGATGGTAATACGGGTTTCTTTTTTTGATGAAGATGCTTCCCCAACTGATGGTTTTTCAGCCCCAATGCCAAGACTATATACCAGAGAAGGGGGGAAGTATGAAGGAAATTTTTTGGGTGATCTGTATGAGTTTTGACAACTATTCAATCTCTTAGTTTGATGAACTGAAGACCTAAAACCATGAATAAAAGAGGTGTAGCAATCAAAAGACAGGTGGGCGAGGTCCCAAAAGTTTAAAATGGTCTGTCAGATTGGGGTAGAGGTAGGAAAAAAAGTTGCAGATTTTCCCTGTACCAAAAGGATGGGAAAATTGTTGAGAGGGTTCTCTCACACAACTTTTTGGGCATGGGCTTTCTCCCAATTAAGTCCACCACCCATTAAGTCTTATTTGTTGAACTCTCCCCCGACTTGATTTTAAAGTCTCCATCTTTATTTTCTGTTTCAAGATTATCGAACTTAACCCCTTGCTATCGCAACCCCCAATTTGAGGTGTCTCCCCGGTGTGCAAAAATTTTAAAAAATCTTATGAAATGTAGAGAATTTTTTAGTTGTAATACACCAAAAAAAACGAAATTTTATAGAAAACGACGGAATTGCGCTTAGGAATCAGTGACCTCGCGATATTTTCAAAACGGGGATTTCACCCAATTTGACTCTATTTTTGGCTAATTCCTTGTTCCAGTTGACCAAATCCCTGCCTTTTTTAGAAACTCCGTTTTTTCTACGATTGAGTACAAGAAACTGCCCATTTACCGATTTCAACTACCCAATAACATGGTCAGAAATTTGCAATTTGGCAATTTACAAAAATAAAAAATTTGCAATTTCAAATAAGATCCAGAAAAACAAAGCAGAATTCTGGCTCTAAAAAAACATTTACTTTGTTTTATCTAAAGTCTCCAGGCCCCCCTGATTTACTCTTGATTTTTATTTTTGAAATTTTTTTTGAAACAAAAAATAGAAGTTTAGTTATGCAGATCTGCAATACTGTAAAAATTTTTACAAATATTGTCAACTCATTATGACTGCATATCAGAATGGCTAGTTGGACATTTATTGGACAATGACATCATTTGTTTATTTTGAACATCGGCAAAAATCAAAAAATTTCCCCTACTTGACTCCTTTCAGGTTTTTTTTATAGTAAACCAATCAAATTTAAATTTTTCTATAAAAAGTTTCCATTCTATCAATGAGACCGAGGGGAAAAGAGGAATACAAAACCCTAAAAATATACGAAAATACACCACAAAAATCAGTTTTTAATTTAAAAAAAAAAAAAGGTCAGTTTTTTTTTTCTCATATGCATTGCTTTCTCCCGAAAATTTTTTTTTGGTTTTCACACTGAACCTTCTCTCTCATGTGTGCCCCACCCTTTTTCCTGCTTGATTTGAAGCCCCTTGAATTTTTGAATTTAATTTTCGTCAAAACAGTACCGTTTAAAACGTATATATGACCAAAAAGTCAAAGGGTTAAGGAACTGAATACAGTGGAACCCTTACTTGCGAGTTTAATCCCTTCCATGACCTTTTCTCGCAACTGGATTTGCTCGTTTTTCGAGTCAATTTTCCACATTTAAATTTAAAATGAAATGCATTAACGTTCCCCGGGTTCAGGGGGCGAAAGGAACCCCAAAATTTCACTAATATCATCTATAGGGTTTTTATTATCACGTTCATCTAATTGAATAAAAACAATATAAATAACATAGAAAAACAGATATATACACTGAATGAATGAAAAATTTTCTATTGAGTATGTTAGTGGAGGCGGAAGCACAGTGGCCATTGGTTGTTGTGTTTATAGGGCCCCACGGCAGCCACTGCTCCCTGACTACCTTCCTTGCTTTTTTTATAAAGAAACGGAGTGTTTTGAGGGGAAAACCCCTTTTGTTACTACGTACTAGTTTTTTAAGAAAAAAATAATAAAAATAATAATAAACTACATAAAAAAATTTTGTAGT